ATCATACGGCCGTCCTGGCTGTTCTCTGAGGGCCGTCGCAGGGAGCGCTGCGCCGCCGCTGGATCAGTGGCGGAACTTGCATCAGGCACCTGGATATCTCTGCCTCCTTGTTACACAAACACTTGATGTCCCTTCGTACACCCACTCTGGCGATGGAGGCTTGCGGTCCGACTGTATTACCCCATAGATGATCATGGACACGGTGTTTCTGATGCGCTCGACGCTGTTGTAGAGAACGGCCGTTATCTGCGCGGCCGGAGGGCTTAGAAGAAGCCCCAGCACGACCCCTCAGTGGAGCTAGTGCGCAGTCCTTCGTGTCCGATCCCATTCCTCACCGTTCAGGTCTGGCGTGACACGCTGATAGGGGTGTGGGTGGAGGGTGTTTTGGTCCGTCATTTGGGCTTTGGGACGGCCAGAGCCAGAGTCAAAATACAAACAGCGAGAATGATCGAACATTACGGAAACCGAAGTTCACCGTCACTTGGAGACCCCACCCTTTTCCGATTGAAGTGGCCGCGCAAGCGTGATATTTCTACAATGGTTCGGAGCGGTGACGGTTCTCGGCCCGCTCGCCCCACCCATCGGATGAGAATGCGCATGGCCATTAGTACGATGTGTTGGTGTCGTGGAAGGGTGATTGATGTGGACTACCGGCGAAGCTCTCGAGAAACCCTGCAACGGAACTTGGGGACAGGCTTCACAGATGCCCACAAGGGCCAGGGAGATGGGTTGCGTCCCCGACACGGTGGTGGCAGGCAGCATCATGCTTCGATATCCACCGCAGGGCTGTGCCGCGACTGGTGCGCGTCGAGCCTCACTTTAAACGTTTTCTGGTTCCGCTCCTTGCGAATATACACACACACGAACACGAACACGAACACGAACACGCACATACACTAGAACCACGCCCGCGCTTCGCGCGCGTTTAGGTTCTAGCCGTACCTACAGAATTGGAACCGCAAGTTGCCAATTAGGAATGCAGGGGCTATTATGTAGTTCCCTCGGGGTCGGTCGTGGGACATGGTGCACTCGATGTTGGGGGTCCTAGCAAAGCGTATAAGGGAACCATTTGTTGTGTGCGCTCTGGATTGTGTCGCGGGAGCGGTTATCCATCGAGTTAATGTGACGCCCTTTGAAACTTCGGCTTATATGCGGTCGGTGCGGGGCTGGGGGTCCACTTACCTTGCCCTGACAGGGGTGCCAAGCACTTCCTTTTTCCTTAGCAACCAACCCGCGAGCCAGAACGGCTCGAGCACAGTCCATGTCACTGCTGGCCCTCGACAGCTTCTCAACAACCCATTTGCCTCACCCATTTCTCTCATATTGCCATGTCATATAGGACCACAAGGAAAGACTCGCATTTGGAAACATCTCGATTTCAATGTGTCTCTGAGCCACCTCCCATGAATCGCCGATCGAGGCAACCAATAATTAAGAAAACGTACAGCTCCCTGGTCCTGTCGCTCCTGGTGTCCTCCATGGCTGTGCAGACGCATGGAATGACAACCGCAAACTTCGAGTCCATGTGGTATCCAAGGCGCCCGCCACCCTTGCCAAAATATTATTGGCCTCCTCGTCCGTGATTGACAACTGACAACTGCTTCTAGACGATATCTGCAGTCTGCTTGATCCCGCAAGCGCCCCCCAGGCTGCACTGAGTCGAGAGGTCAGACTGGGTTGCCGTCTCCGTCCATACCTACGTCGCGCGGATGACAAGCGCGACGATGATAACAAGGAAGATGCCCACCATCACAACTCCGTCGATGTCACCGGCCCAATTTTGCGGCCCACAACTTCACCACCAGTGCCAGCCCGTCCAAGCTGCTACGCGCGCCACCGACTCCCACGAGACAAC